CTCTGAAGGATTCACTGATGCAATCTGATTCAAGAGGAAGGAGAATAAATGAGTGACTGGGCTTCCCTGAGCACAGTATTTAAAAAACATCTATAAGGCCAGACTAGCAGCCTTTTATCTCCACAGCTGAGTGCTTATTCGCATGAGCAGTCAGCAGGAGTTCTATGGGGTAATGCCAACAATACGATGCTTGGCGTATACAGGTATACACATGCATACAAATGCCATAAACAGCCTCTGCCGTGAAGTTTTTACAGCCTCCCTTCAAACCAAAAGACACATCAGGAGCATCAGTGTGACCAATGTTCTTTAAGGTCTGCAATAAGAGGGACTGCCAGGTACTCAAAATCTCTCCCCTCTCTAGTTTCTGCCCAAATCTCCTTGTCACACAAAATGGACACAGGGCGAGGTTCAGAAACACGCTTCAGTGCCTAGGGCTGCGTATGCGGACCAGGAACACAGTGTGAGCCCAGCTATGACATGCAGTAGTGTCACTGTTACCAGGGTTCCTTTCCAGCGCTATGGATCGTGTTATTTAGTTTGCTGTATTTTGCTGGCTTAGTGTGAAAGGAAAGCGGTTACTTGCCACGGGTAATTGAAGGGCATCCAACCCAGTTATCTCCTGCAGAAGGAAATACTGGGTAATTCAATTATATTTCCATGGGGCAGGAGAAAAACTGAACTAGAAAAAGAAAACAGGCTGAGCTCTTCAAACTGGTGTTAAAAACCTTCTAGAAAATGAGTGAATGGTTTAGCTACTCGTATCTAGCTGCAGCACATATGGTGTCCTCTGCACCATCTTGCTACTCCAGTCTTTAAACCAGACACACGAATACAAGACAGTTCAGAATCCTGCCCCCACCACTCACATGAAGTGAATTTACATGGCTCGTTCCTTTTGCAAATTCACACATGAGCGACACTCCCCTCCTGCCTGCTGAGCTCGTATAAATGGAGCTGTTTGCACTGCACAGTGCCCTGGTTAGCATTGGCCGCTGAGAACTGTCACAATGATCTCCCACACTCAGCTTCTCTGGATACTAGTTTTTTGGATTCAGGGTAAGAAAAAACAATAGGCCCAGCTTTAATGAACAATAACATCAGTGACAATGTAAATATAATCTATTCATTATTGTAACAGATAATACGATATTTTATTTAATGCTGTTTCATAAGATAGCGGGTTAAAAATGTGTTGCAAAATAAAGCTATAACTCTTTGATCAGTGCATTACAAATTCTTCCATTTCCTTTTTACTTCTAGATTCCATCGGGCAGAAAGTGCTGACTCAGACGCCAGAATCTCTATCGGTCTCTCCAGGAGACACAGTCACTATCAAATGCAGAGCCAGTGAAAGTGTTAGCACCTACCTAGCTTGGTACCAGCAGAAATCAGGACAAGCTCCTAAGGTCCTTATCTATGGTGCTACCACCCTGCAATCAGGCGTCCCAGCCCGGTTCAGCGGCAGTGGGTCTGGAACCGATTTCACTCTCACAATCAGCAGGGTTGAAGCTGAAGATGCTGGAGATTATTACTGTCAACAAGGCTACATCCCTATCACAGTGATACAGACCAATACAAAAACCTCCCTGTTCCAGCACTGTGCACTCAGCGTTTCTCACAGGTGCCTGTGGACAGTCAGCTTCACTGATTTCATAACAAATAAGGAACAACAGGAAGTTATTTAATTAACTCGCTGCCACAACAACACAACAAAGTCCTCCCACTGTCATTTTTACTCTCGATGCACAGAGCTCAGGGAAAACCTAACTCTAAATGGCTCTGTTAAGTAAAGCTTGTTGAGACAGGCCGAGCGGTTCTTTTAAAAGTACAACTGCAAAAGGGAGGAATGAGAAAAGCCGTGCTTGTGCAGCAGCTATGAGGCCTTGATCCATGACTGGGGCCCCTAAGCATTACAGCAGTACAAATAACAATGATAGTAATTTATAAATATGGGCCTTCTTAGGCACAAAATAAATGTTCCACAGAGCTCAGCATGTTGGAAGGTCTGTTGAAATTCTGGCCATACCTGTCTCAATAGAAGCAGCTACGTAGCCCATATATAGATGCCTAAATGGGAACTCAGCTCTTTAGAAAAACCTGCATCTTAGAGCCTGATCCTAGGCCCAGTGAAGTTAACAGGAATATTCCCATTTAGTTCTATGGGCATTGGATTGGACCCCTTTCAGGCTCATCTGCAAGCCACAGTCTTCTAGGGTTCACTCAGCAGCAAGTGGCTGGTTAGTTACTGGAGAGGCAGGTAACAGATGAACAGCTGGGAAAGGGTGTAAATAAAACAGCCCACAAGGAGGGAACAAGATGAATCAGGTGTTACAAGGCGGGCATCAAAAAGAAGTGGAGCCTTCTCATAAATTTCCATCATTCTCTTACGTACCCTGGACCACCACAAGGTCTGGCCAGGAGGAAGAAGTGTAAGATAGTGACCATATTGTCCATGCCACAGCTATCCAAGGAACGGGCAGGTGCCTCCTCCTACCCATCCACCTCAGACAGATGCTGGAATAGTTACTGGGAAGTAGCCAAATATCAGGATCTGGCAGCTAAATTGCAGCACAGCCCTAGTTCAAACAGAACTAATCACAGACACAACGTCAATGGGGCGTCCACAACAGCCACTGAATTGTAATCCATGGTAAATCGCGGATCTCCAAAGATCATCAAAGTGCTCTAATTCACAGTGAATACACAAGTGTTCCACAGAGTCTCTAATCAGTTAGGACACCTACTAATTAACTGTCAGCTAATGAGAATTCATGTTCAGGGCTTTGGAGCGGAGCCCGGAGCTGGAGTGCAGAGCAGCTCCAGAGCAGTGGAGCTGCATGTTTTTGCCTGGAGCTGGAGCGGAGCCGGAGCACAGCTCCAAAGCCCTGTTCATGTTCATTGACAATCTTAACTGAGAGTCTCTACAGCTATATGAATTATGGGCTTGAGCCAAAGCCCACTGGAGTCAGAGAAAAGTCTCCCATAGACTTCAATGAGCTTTGAGATCAGGCCCTTAAGGTTTTAGCTCCAGCATTCTTTCACAGCTGGTGTGTAGGCAGGGGAATGAATGAGCAACCTTAATTTGAAGTCATTTTTTGTTTGTCCAGGACATGAAATAGTGTATCTAGAAATATACACATGGAAACACTCATCAGAAAAGTCCCATCCATATAAATCCTTTTGAAACTCAGATCAAAGCAGTGATGATGGCGGCTGCATTAGGTCAGTGTTCATTTTCTCATCTGTTCCAGAAATTATTAGGGCTTCTTTTCATGAGTGATGGACTACAGCAGTGCCCTCATGAAAGAAACCAGACTGGAGTCTACTGACATACCCTGCCAGCCTGGTTGCCAGCAGTATCAATGTATAGTGGAAGATATCAAGCGGAAGCAGCAGCTTTGCAAAGACACAAACCACTGTCTAAACCCCCTCACTTGGCATAGTTTGTCAAGTAAAGGAGGTATAAATGTTGCCTGCCTGGATCATGGATTGTGGGGGAACATTTGTGGGAGCCTTTATACGTGTTGCCAGCACATCACTTTATAGTAATGCGCATTAAGCTGCAACCAGAGTGAAATATCGCAGCAAACAATTCCCTAGTGAAATACTGCTGGCAAACCGTCCTCTACCTGCTGGACGGCATGATGTCACACAGGTTCCCTCTCACTGTGGCTGGATTGTCCCTTCCAAGGGTTCTCTGTGGGGCTGGAACGGGGCGCTGTGTACATCCTCTGGCCCTTACTACTCCCTCCACCTGCCCAGTCTCCACCACCTCCTCCCATGCAGATTCCAGGTGCAGGCAGTGCCCTTCACAGAGTGCAGAGGAAATGGAGGAAGGTAGCATGGATGTAGCTGGAACAACTCTGTGCACAATCATGGGGAGATCTATGCATGGAGAGGAACCTGAGTGCACAGATCTCAGGGGTACGATCAAGGTTGTTAACACTAAACCACCCAGTCAAAGATGAATGTTTCTAGACTCCAGATATGGAGTACATTATTCACACGAGCTTTGCATATTCACACACAAACACTCACTCACTCACTGGGCTACGGAGGTCTTTTAAATGCATCAGCTGGGACTATGTGGGTAACTGATCACTGTGCCCACTCCAGAGCTGCCAAGACGATCTCTCCGACTCAGTTTCTCTGGGCACTTGTTTTTTGTTGCAGTCCAAGTAAGAAATAAAAGATAACTCAGGCTTTCAGGCAACGTAGCATCAGGAAGAAAAACATTTAAAAGATGGACAATGTAATATCACAGTATTTTATGAATTACATCACAATACTTTCTTAATCAAAAAGTGACTGTAAACACAGTCCTAAGCTTTAAATAATTGTAACAACATGTCGCGTCTGTAGGGCATTTCTTTCTAAATCTAGACTCCTACAGAGACACTGTGATGTCGCAGACCCCAGAATCCTTGACAGAGTCTCCAAGTGACAACAATGACTATTAGTTCCAGTGCTAGCAGTAATATGGCTTGATACCAACAGACAGCAGGACAAGCTCCTAAACTCCTTATCTACAATTTTAGCTCGAGAATTCTTTCACAGCGCAGGCGCAGGGCAGCACCACAGCGCCCCCTACAGAGGATGCAGCCCTGGCTGTATTAAATAGGACATGTTCTTCAATCTCCATACACATGTACCACATACAATACTCTGCGCAGCACGATCAAACTCGTGGAGCTGAACATCCCCCAGTGACATTAGATGGCAGCACAGACACGTATCAAGCTCACCCTGAACACACTGCAGACTCTGGAATTCTGAGTATGGGCAGTACTTCGTCATAAGTGACGTCAAGAAAAACAACAGAACATCTGAAATGATGCAAACAAATCAGTTCTCCATTTTTAGGGCCTGAGGAGAGACGCTTTGCATATTCACATCTGCCTGAGATTTCCCTGCTGCTCTGAGCAGTTATATATGGAGTCCCTTTTTACAGTCTTTAGGGTTTATTGATCAGCACCGGGCAGTCCAGACGTAGCAAGATGATCTCACAGGTTCAGCTCATCTGGCTGCTAGTCCTCTGGATCCAGGGTAAGATTCCATTTGAGATAACACTGGTCTGGTGGGATAATGGGAGATTGAGCCCTGGAAACATCTCTCACACATACATGAATACACACAATTACGGTGACCAGATGTCCTGACTTTATACGGACAGTCCCCATATTTGGGGATTTTTCTTATATAGGTGCCCATTACTCCCCACACTCTGTCCCCATTTTTCATACTTGCTATCTGGTCACCCTACACACAATATATTGCTCAAGCTCAAATTTACTGCATTCTCTGATTTTTAAATCCATTCCTTTTTCATAATCTTTTAGTTAATTGAGAGAAAAGGATAAACCATGATACAAAACTAAAGTGAAAACATGAATGTTCTGACTCATGCATTATGTTAATTTAAATTTTCCTTTCAATTCAGACTCCAGTGGGCAGATGGTGATGACTCAGACTCCAGAATCCCTGGCAGTGTCTCCAGGCGACAGAGTCACCATCAACTGCAAAGCCAGTTCCAACACTAACAACTACGTAGCCTGGTACCAACAGAAAGCAGGACAAGCGCCTAAGCTTCTTATCTATGCTGCTCTCTCCCGTTACACTGGGGTCCCAGACCGATTCAGTGGCAGTGGCTCTGGCTCTGGCACTGATTACACTCTCACTATTAGCAGTGTAGAAGCTGAAGACGCTGGAGATTACTATTGTCAGTACACTTATAGCTCCCCTCTCACAGCGATACAGACCCGTACAAAAACCTCCCTGCCCTGTGTGGTTTCAGTTTCTCTCCTGTAACAGATGCTTCCTCAAGAGAATAACAGTTTGAACATAACCTCAGTGTTATGCAGTGTCCTGCTGCAATGGGGTGCAGAGTCTATGCACTACAGATAGGGCCTGAACCAATGGAGTCAGTGAGAGACCTTCCACTATACTGGATCACGCCTGTTGTAAGGAGGGTTGAAACCTGCTTCATTCAGCTGGATACCACTGCAAAAACTGCTGAGATTAAAGAGGGAGGCTGCCCCTGCAATATCCTGGCTGCTAATAGCCCAGATACACTCCCCGTCATTTTTACCACATGAATACTTTGAGCATCATTGGTCACCTAGTGATGAATGAGGGATGCCAACCAACGGGACAGGCCACGATCATGTGGTTCCCCGGGAATAGGGAATACAAACAGCAGAAGGGCAGCAGAGCCTTGAAAGGCTGGAGTCGCTAACCAGACAAAAAATTCTCACCAATGAAATGTCAATATCTGCTAACAGATCCCACACCCCAGTGTCTGCGGTGCCACAATTACCTCCTATTCTCAGAAACGAGGAATGCCGGCCATAACTACAGAATGGGGACCGTATCCTGCAGAGCAGTGACTCTGAAAGGGATTTAGGAGTCAGAGTGGAGAAGTAACTCAACAGGAGCTCTCAGTGCGATGCTGTGGCAAAAAGGGCTACTGTGATCCTTGGATGTGTACTCAGGAGATTAGTGTGTACGAGTAGGGGGGGATTTTTCCTCTGTATGCAGCACCGGCAAGACCGACACTGGAATACTGTGTCCAGTTCTGGTATCCATATTTTTAAATTGATGTGGAAACATTGGAGCGAGTGCAGAAAAGAGCCACAAAAATTGTGAGAGAGCTGGGGGAAAATGCCTTACAGTGAGAATCTTACAGAGCTCCAGCTGCTTAGCTTATCAAAAAGACGACTGAGAGGTGGCATGGTTACACTGTACATGGAACGGCCAGGAGAGAAAATGCCATGTACTAAAAGACTCATTTAACCTACTGAGAAAGGCAAACGAGAACCACTGGCTGAATCCTGAGCCCAGACTAGTTCCAATTAGAGATCAGACACAAAATGTGAACAGTGGGAATAGTCCACTGTTGGAACAATCTGCCGAGGGCAGTGATGGATTCTCCATCTCTTCCTGTCTCCACATCGAAACTGGATGCATTCCTGGAAGACATGCTCTAGCCAAACACAAGTTATTGGGCTCAATACGGGGACAACTGGGTGAAATTTAGTGGTATGTGCTACCCAAGAGGTCAGACGAGATAATCTCATGTTCCTTTCTGGCCTTAAACTGTATGACTGTATGGATCCAAAAAGAAATATGGTTTGTCCCAGGTACCTCATTGAGGAAACTGCTCAGAAATGCTGATTTTTAAGTGTTCTCCTCTGTCTCTGTTCTCTCTAACTTGTGTCTACCTCAGTATTTGGGGCTACAGGAAGCCTTGTCCTTCTCTGCAGGGACTTTGATCTGCGGGAAGCCTTTCCATGGGCAAGGAAGATTCACGCACTAGGCGAAACTTCCACCTTGCGCCCCACCTCCCCCCGCACCGCAGCAGCTCCCACCCCCAGCCCAGGGAGCCGTGTGGCAGCTCTGACCCAGGGGTTCCCCTGGGCTGCCGGCGGCGCGCTGACCCAGGGGAAGCCCTGGGCTGCCGGCGGCAGCTCAGACTCCCTCTCCCTCCCAGCGCAGCGGCCGCTGTTAAAAAAAAAATTGGGGGCACCGCTTTTTGGTGCCCCCAAACCTTGGCGCCCTAGGCAACCGCCTAGTTAGCCTAAATGGTAGCACCAGCCCTGTCCATGGGGCTGCCACAAATCTTATCCAGTCTGTTTGGGGCTGTGACTGGCTTTTCCTCCCTCCCCCCACCCCCCCCATGGATCTGAAATAAACTGCATATGAAGTAAAAATCAAACTGGGCAGCTTCTTTCCATTCTAACTGGCAGTGTTTTAGTGTTCTCCTGTCATACAAGGAGACTATAATAATCCTTCAAACACCTAGTCTGCACCTCCCTTCCTCCCATCCTCTCCATATAGAGCAATCAGAACACAGCGCGTTTCAAAACATCCTTTTTTCTTTAATAGCTATGCACCATGCACCCAATTTGCAGGAAATACAAACCCAAGGAGCTACAGCTTGGAATGTGTAAGGAACCACGGTCTATCCTGGGACCAAATCCATCATTGGCGTAACTGCACTGGTTTCAAGGGATTTACACCTGGGACAAATTTCACCCATGTTTTTAAAAATGTTATTTTTACTCAGCTTTGTTGCCGGCATTCCCTTAGAAACGCAGATCTGAAATCCAGCTTCAAACATCATTTATTTGTTGCCTATTTCACAATGTGATCCACGGTTTGGGGAAAACATTTTATAGAAAAATATCAGAAATAGAAAAGATCCAATATTGTTATTATTTAAATTCCAGTCGCACCCGGATACCCCAAACAGGACCAGGGCCCCATTGTGTTCAGCGTCCTACAAACAGATAGTGGCAGGCAGTCAAATAGACAATGAGTGGAAGGGGCAGCAGAGGTACAGAGAAGGGAAGAGACTTGCCCAAGGTCACACACCCAGTCAGTAGCAGGATTGGAATCGAGGTCTCCTGAATCCCAGTCCTATGCACTAACCATTGGACCACACCACTGTGTCCCATTCCCTTGTCTCCTGCTAGCCAAGGATTATTCTCTCCCGTGTTCTTTGGCATGTGTTATTTTAAATGACTCACATAGACCTCACCCGAGCAGAGATTTCCTCATATATTTATCCTAAACATCTTTTCTTCATTTTCCATCTCTTTGCCTTTTTAATGAATACTCAAGAATTCCCAGCTAGTCCTTGAACATTAACAGTGGGCTGGTTTTGCACAGGAGTCAGATCTTCAGCATTTTAAATATTTCATATTTATTTGATATTTAAATATTTTCATATTTAGTTTACAGTTGTAACAAAACTTACAGCTAATAAAGCTGAACTGCTCCTCTCTGCCAGCAGGTGGTGTCACAAATGTATAAAACCTGAAATAGCTCTATACAAACACTAAACATACGGAAACAGCTGACATTATTTCTGTGTAATTAGCATTTTGACTGTTAACCTAGTGACTACATACACTCCAATGATGGAAACAAATTAGCTCTCAGCCCAGAACTTGTGACATGAGGTCTCAGTGCGGATTTTTTGCATGGTTCCACTTGAGGTAGATTTCCCTGCTGTTCAGAGCAGGTAAATTATTTTGTTTAATTTGTTACGTTTCATTAACAATATTACTCAGCTCAGACACACTAAGATGATCTCAGAGGCTCAACCCATCTGGTTATTAGTTTTGGATCCAAGGTAAGAGTCAACCCAATAGAGCCTGGCTTAAAGAGGCAATTAGAGATCCCCATCTAGAAATGTCACTATATCGATTAAGCATGGTCTCATTTCAGTGACACGCCTGGTTTATTCTTTATTTTCACGTTAGGATCTTTGTGTTAATTTATAGTGAATCAAGAAAACAGCAGAAACACTGTTCAAATCTACAAGAGTGTATAATGCCTCTGTGCAGAAATGTTATCGACAAATCTTTGTCAGTATTTCCCTTTCTATTCAGATTCCAGGGCTGACTCAGTAACCAAAGTCCTTTCAGTGTTTCCAAGAGAAAGCATCACTATGCTCTGCAAAGCCAACTCCCATGTTCTCCATCCCATTGCCTGGTGCCAGCAGAAATCAGGACAAACTCCCAAACTTCTTATCTACCCTGCTTCCATCAAACACGAGGATTCTCCAGACCAGATCAGTGGAACTGGGGACAGATATACTGATCACATACACAATCCACGGGGTAGAAGTAGATGATGCTGGACATTAAAGTTACCAACAATGTGCAAGGCCACCTTGCGCAGTGCCGCAGGCCAGTACAATAGTCTTCCTGTTCAGTTTCTTTCATGTTCATGTAATTAACACACAACTACTGTACAATGTTATACGGGTACCTACTATACAATGCAAGGCTGTGCTAGATGGACAAATTCCCAGCACCTTACAGATCACATGTACCCAGGGAAGTTCTACCTCTAATTCCCACATTAGAATGATTAGCAATTTGTGTGAGTGAGAGAAGGAGAAAGCCCTGTCCGGTGTCCTTCCCATCTGCTTATGCAGAATCCTGTGCAATTCGCTGTGCAAACTGTGAGCAGCTTTTCTGAACCATCCCCAAATACCTAAGGATTTAATAATTTGACAGCAAGTAAAAAGGAAGAGGAAAGAGACGGAATTAGATTTCAGGCCAGAGTGCTTTGAAAATGACCTTTGTAAGGGGTAACTGTTTGGCTCGGTGAATCTCGAGAATTGAGTCCAACAGAAGCAATCAACATCTGCTGTGAGATTGGTTGATAGAGAAAGCAGATTTTCTGAGCTCGAATCCCAAATTTCCGCAAGGGCCAGTTTAAACGCTTATCTACAAACAGTGCCACTCACTGAAAATTTTTGAGACAACTCCAAAATAAAAACAGACTTGTTGGACACCACAAGAGTTTAAATGTAAAAAGATTTGATCACTGTGTTTTATAGATTCATAGACTCTAGGACTGGAAGGGACCTCGAGAGGTCATCAAGTCCAGTCCCCTGCCCTCATGGCAGGACCAAATACTGTCTAGACCATCCCTGACATTGTAACCGTGTTGGTGCCAGGATATTAGAGAGACAAGTTGGGTAAGGTAATGTATTTTATTAGTCCAATAAAAGATATTACCTCATCCACCATGTCTCTCTGAAGGGTTTGGTGGAAGTGAGGACCCCATCCTGACCCTCATACAGTAAATGGTAAATTTCACAGGAGCAATGGTAGCAGGTTCTGACCTTCAAATCCCAAGTGTGGGGAGAGGTACAAGAGGGTGCCTGTATCTATAATTCAAGTTTTGGTGCACTGCACCTCTATTTGAAAGAACTTTACCTACCTGTCTGCTGGGGCATGGGGTTGTGCAGTATTGCAGGAGCAAGAGATGCTCTCTGCCTTCTCCTCATG